GGAGCATCCCTTTCTCACCAATGAAGTGAATAGGAGTAAATCAAAACAGGGGGCAACCTTCCCTCCTTCTTTACATGTCTCTTCCTTTTTGTGGGAAACTGCACATTTGAGGCAATATGTTGTAGCAACTCTTCTACTGGTTCCCCTCTGGTGTTTGTTATTGTTCTTTGCTTTTTCATTTGTTTAACGACTGGTTGGATTGTTTTGTCAAAGTCTACTCCCCCTCCCCCAAAGCATGAAACCTCTGATTTTCCCCCTCAGGGAACCAAGCATTGGCTTTGATATGCCTGCAATCACGCTAGGAGGACTATTGCAAGGCTCCCTTTGATTGTCTCTTTCCCTGTCCATATTCAGCTGGTAATCTTCACCGGTTGCTAGATAGGGCATAAACTGCTCAATAGACTGATCCAATTAAATTTGGATTCCTTTGGTGAAATAGTTTTGAAGCCAGTGTTTGAGATTTATTTTCACTCCAGTAGGGCTCTTCTTGGCTGTCTCCCTGGTTCTTTCTAGTAAACTAGCTTTCTTACAGTTTAGCTTTTAATTTGAATAATTCTATCAATTTCATCTTAATTGCTCTTAACCACAAACTCCATTATTTTTTGAGAGGGCCATAGGCTTCAACTTCTTCATAGTCTGTTGCAAAAATGATTTATTTCCCTTGGGAAGAGATGCAGGGACCTCTGTTTAGTGGCCTGCTTCTTCTGTTGGGGAAAAAACAAACAAACAAAAAACCTCTGAGCTATAGATGTAGAGCTGGGAATGGTGAACTTTTCAATGAGAGACACTTGTGCTTTAGGATCTGGGCCTTCAGTGGAAAGAGACAGTAGTTTCAGGTCTTCTTAGCTTGCTTTACCCAATATGGAGTCTCTTACCAAATTGGGGTCCCGATATTCTCAGCAGTGCTTCATCCGAGGTAATCCTATGAATGAAGACTGCATGGAAGATGGGAGCCCCCAACTCTGGACTGTATTCCTCTAGACTCAGACTCAGCAACAGGTAGCTTGGGGCAATATGAGAAACTCTGATGCTCTGTCTTCTCTGGAAAAATCACTCTGGCTTCTTTGTGGGAAGAAGAGGTCCTGTTTTCTTGGTTGTACCAATCTGGAGTGGAGTTTCTGTCTTGCTGATTTAGCAGGGGAAAGGAGGTTTTGGGTCTTTGCTCAAATACCAGACTCTCACTGTCCTTAGCAAATATTACTAGACATTCTTGAATAAATGTTTCTGTATTTGCTATACGTCCTCAGGACCATTTCTGGATAATTTAGATAGTTTGATTTTTTTAAACTAATTTGTTTTCAGTTTCATTGGGGAGCAGATTCATAGAGCTCCTCAAGCTATCATGCCAGAAGTGGAACTTCAAGTAATCTTTATTAGTCACCTTTTTAAAAGCCCATTCCACATCAAAATGCCAGGAGCATGGGCACAAAAATGGTCATGAAGTGGTCAATAAAATGCCATGTCCATTAGTGCACTATTAGATCTCCTTCACCATGAATACCAATGCACTGTCTGGGTGTAAGCATCCCAATTATTAAAAATGTGGAGGACTGTGGACTCAAGAACTACTACTATGTAGCTAGAATCTCCCACTTACAAAGGGATGACACCCCATCAGTAGAATACATTTCAATACCTATTAGAAACCAGTGATAGCCACCAAATGGCAGCAGAGAACCCACACAGTCCATTTGTCAAGAATGGGTAGGGCCCTTTCCTTGAGCTGTAAGTTTTAAGTATTTGTCATACTTACCTGTATTTTAAGGGGACCCAAATGAAAAACACAATTAGGACAGGAGTAGTGGGACAAGTGCACAACAAGGACTCTATCTGTTTCATCTGACCTAGTCATGTGGTTACCTTAAAGCAGCATAAAACACCAGAGAGAGCCTGATAGCTCATGAGGGAAAAAAGTAAACACCAAATGTTTAACATGAACCAGGTATAACATTTATAATATGTGCAAAGTTGGGGGCAAAACTTCAAGTGGGGGCTTACATGCCGTATTTCTAATTATGTGAAATTGTTTAAGTCAACCAATAAACTATAAAAATATGCCTTGGCAAATATACTTCATAATGGCCTGAAAGGTCCCGTTTGGGTTTTGAATTCATAGACTGCTCTAACTTTTGAGCCTTCAGTGTGGGAGGAACTGCCACCAACCCTCTATGTCCAATGCCCTAGACTAGGCCCAGACATTAGTCAGTCTGCCTTCTCTTCCCACCCTGAGTTTTATCGCCCACCTTTGAGGACTCATCTGGGTGTATGTGGAGAACCAGGGCAACTCATTAACTTTTCCTCATGTATAGCCAAGACCCCTCCCCATAGCCACCTGGAAGTACATGCACCAACAGTGCAGTTAGTCTTCAAACATTAGAAAACTAAGCCCCAGTGAAAAGCATGCTGGTACTGGAAGCAGGCTTGGGTCCATTCAGATGAAGAGTTTAGGTGTCCCAGGTATCTTGAGGATGATATGGAGGGGGCTAAGGTACAGAGGGTGCATGTATTCCTTTGGCCCCTAAACTGGGCTTTTGGTGCTGTGGGAAGAACCTATCACCAAGAGAACCAAAGAGAGTCTTCAAAGCATAACGTTTAGGAGATGGGCCTCTTTTGATAGGGCCTAAGAAAAAATGCTGTATTTTATAACTGGTACAGCATGAATTAACCAATCAGACACAAACTGAGGGCCTTCGAATCACACTTGTGGATGGTTGTCTATTTGCTCTGCCCTTTCCATTTAAATAATGCTGATGAAGGGTCCTATACATTCTCTCACCATGTAGTTCTAGTCATAAGAAGTACTATGTGATAACACAATTTTATTTATTTTTAAAGACTTATTTATTTATTTTAGAGAGAAGGGGGAAGGGGTAGAGGGGGAGGGAGAGAGAGAACCCCAGGCAGAATCCCTGCCAAGTGCAGAGCCTGAGATCATGACCTGAGCCAAAATTGAGTCAGATGCTCAGCGCACAGAACAGCCCAGGCACTCCTGTAATAATACATTTTAAAATGCCAACACTGGTGAAAAGGGAAGGTTGAGGGTGCATTAATTGAGCATCTGGGAAGGGGGAGAACAGAGTGCTTGATATTTGGGGAAGGAAGGATAAATTAAACCTTTTAAGCTTGCAATTATTCAGAATTTCACAATCTGTACAGTGTCTGAAGGGGTGGAGCAGAGGATAGACACACACACACACACGCACACACACACACAGATCATTCTAATATTAGTTAGAACATGAGAGTGCTACCACAGAATATGAAAGAGAAAGGTATCGATGCCAATTACAAGAATCTAGGCAGTCTTATATAAATGTAGAAACAGGATCTTCTCCTATCCAACTTCTGGCATCCTTCTGATCCTCTACTCTGGTAAATTAAGACTTCATTTTCCTTAAACAGCTTCCAGATTTTAGGCCCGTTTTCTCCTTTCCCTCTTTAATACATTGTCATTTTTATTAGGAAATATTTCAGACCTACACAGTCTATGGTATAGAAAATACTACATCCATTTACCCACCACCTTACTCAAGAAATTGAACATTACAAATACAGTTGAAGCCCACTACATACCTATACTGGGCTAAACTGCATTTTCCAAAAATAAATTTTTCATGCCCTAATATCTGGTCCCTATAAATGTGACTTTATTTAGAAACAGGGTCTTTGCAAATATAACGAGGCTAAGAGACACAAGATGAACTCAACCTGGAATTATGGTGAGCCTAACCCCCATGACTAATGTGAACGTAAGAGAAAAGAGAGGCAGAATTGAATCACAGACTCACAGGGAAGGACATAAAATGATGGAGGCAGATATTGGAGTTATGCTGCCACAAACAGAGGAATTTCAGAAATCACCAGAATCTAGAAGGGACAGGAATATTCTCTCCTGGATCTTAGAAGGAAATGTGTCTGTGTCCTCAACCTGATTTCACCTGAAATCAGAACTCCAGAACTCCGGAACTGCCAGAATCAGACCCCAGAGTATGAAGGTATGAAGTTCTGTTTTAGGCCACCCACTTTGTGTAATATTTTATAACAGAAGTAGAAAACTAAGACAGCCTGTCCCCAATTGAATTCTTCACTATCCCTCTACACAAGACATAACCAGTGTCCTAAAAAGGCTCCTTATCATTGCATTATAGGCCTTTCTGCATGCTGTATATGCCGGCATTTCCAATGCTTACTTTTTACTACATATATATGTATCCATAATGTATATATTTATTTTGCATATTTTGAAAATTCATATACATTGTGTCATAGTGTTTGTATTCTTCTGGAATGAGATGGTTCTCTTATGCATTATTTTTCACTGCAACCAACCAAAGTTTGTCCTTCTAGGGGGTCTTTATCTGTGTCCCAGGTCTTGGAGAATTCCACTCTCATCCCCAGCTCTGACCTTACTCTCTATCCGAAACAGCTTCACATCACTGAGTTAATGCTGCTCCTACCAAAAATGAAGCTGATTTCCCCTCATTCATTGCTTGAAATGTTTCCCAAACTTTATTGAGTTTCAGAATCATCTGGGAGGACTTCTAAACTGTGACAGAATTACCAATTCAGAAGTTATGGAATGAGGCCTGAGGATTTGCATTCCTAGCAAGTTCTCAGGTGATGATGATGCTGCTGGTCCATATCAGCCCAGTAAAAACCAGCGCCATCTGATCTCCAGGTAAGCAAGGTCATCCATCATGTACTTCAAAAGAATACAGTAGGGGCAACCTCACCCTTCTTTATGTAAATTGTTTATAAGTTTTTTAATTAATTGGAGGATGAATAAAGGAACCTAAAACAGGCTAATCAAATGATTGAAAGTGATTCCTTTCAATAATAGGTGGCCAAAACAAAAATATACAAAGATAGATTTAAGTCATTGTAATATATTTAAAGAGTCTGCAGCTTATTCATTTTAAATGAACTTTTATTTTCAACTTCAAAATGCTGTCATATCTCTCAAATATATGATGACATTAGAACAAAACCAGTGGTGCTAAAATTTCGAAAGACAAATAAATATCAGAAAATCTCCATTCCTTGAAGAACAAATTCATTGTGGCTTTCTTCGTTCATGTCTTACTATGCCTCCAAACTGTAGATGAAACAAGAGACAATTAACAATTGAACTTGATTGAAATGCAACAGTTACTTTCTAAGTCTAAGAATAGCCAATCCTATTTATGCCTGAGCTAAAATGAGAAATCATGTATCTCTCTTATAACCCAGACACCTGGGTATAAGCTTGCTTTTGCATACTCTGAGGTCCTCCATTCTGTGACACAACAAAATCAACTGCTATTTGCCAAACCGAAAAGGCTTGTTTGTTGTGACACAACATTCTGGTATTTACACATTTCTTTTGATTTTGATTTCCTTTTCTTTTGAAATAAACTACACTCATTTACCCCCCAGGACCCAAGTTCCAATATCTGTAAAAGAAGAAAGTAAAAGGAAAGGACAAAATATATTGGATATAGATTGAGTTAATTATCAATCCAGTGATTAACAATAATCTTACCATGCCTATTGCTGTTTTCTTTTTACTGTCCCCTGAAATATAAACATTTACAACTGAATAAATGGTTTAAATTGCTGATAAATAAATAAATAAATAAATAAAATTCTAAATAAAATTCTGACGATTCCTGTGATAGTCACATTCTCAAAGGAATCGTCTCCTACTTAGCATAAAAGACCATATTTCTGTGGCTATATGTTGAAAGCCCAGCTGGTATTGATTTATGTTCCTTTAGCCGCTTGTTCTGGCAACCGAGTTCTAAACAAACATTGGTCTCTGCTACCAGGCTGACACATCTCCCACCTGTTGAAGACTTACAGCTACAACTGGAAGGACTTGAAGCTGTGATTGAAGTACATTTCAGAATATGCTTCATTCTACACCGATATCCAAAATTAACATCGAACTGGCTCACAGAACTAAATTTTTGACAGTTTGTTATTTACTTTACTGAGAAAAGTTAGAAGCATAATTGATGTATGTCAGGCATGGCTGGATGATCCACAAAGCGACGCACAGATACCTGGGTTCTCAGGAACTGCTCTCTCCTGGGTCCAGATACTTTTCAGGCCCTTTTTCAGGTTCTTCATTTCTGATCTCGTCTGCTTTCTTTTCCTCACCTCCAGCTTCTCAGGCCTCATCATCAGAGCTTCCACACTTACATTCACTGGCTTCACTGGTGAAGAATAATACGGACTTTGGGGCCAGAACTTCACGGAAAAAATAGCCCAATTTATAATCGGTGGCGACATCGACAACTCTGCCCTCAGGAGAATCAGGAGGATAGAAGTAGGTGAAGAAAGAGTAGCTGGGCGTCTTCTTGGTGGTGGATACAATGATTCTGCGGTCCTCACCTTTCGGCAGCTTGCTCGTCTTCATGGTGACATTTCTCCCCTCTTTCCAGTAGATCTCACATCCTGTGCTGCTGATAATTTCTGGGCCTTTGGAGAGGAAGGGATCAGAATCATCTGGGTCTGATCGCATTTGGTATGTTTTAGTCAGGATTTCATTGAAAAAGTATTCGCTGGACTTGAAGGTAAATTCTATGGTGAAGCTCATTGGTTCCTCGAACCCTGAAAATTTAATTTTTACATCTTTCAAGTGCTCTAGTACAAGTTCGTCATTTTTTCGGATCGTCCTCCCAAGGATCTTCACATTTTTAAAAGCCGTCAACCAAAAGTGAGGTATGCCGTTTGTTGGCCCTTTTCCCGCAGGCTCTCTTTCCATTTCCCCCCACGCGCCTTCCTGGACACCTACTTGCCACTGACATTCACCTTCTGTGGGCTCATAGATTGCACTGACGATCTCAGATCTCTTATCAAACAAAGGCTGGTAGAAGGCCGCATACTTTTTCTCTAGATCGTGAAAATCTCTGTAGAATTGAGCTTCCACTTGTACATATTGGGCCTGAAGATTTTTGAGAGCTTTGACCCGCTGCTTCACCGCTAAAGGCAAGTGCTGAGCACCGCCTGCCTTTGAGCTGGGTGCCCCAAGGGGGGCTGCAAGGGCCCGAGGACTTGGCGGCCACTCGCCAACCTGGACCTTGTCGGGGGCACAGGCCCCAGCTTCCGAGGACTTGGAGGCATCGCCCAGGGCCTCGTCCTCTTTTCCGTGAGCCTCTGCTGTAGGTTCCTCTGCCTTTTGGGATACAGCCTCCTCTGTTGGTTCCTGCGGCCCCCAGGGCGAGGTGCCCTCTGCCTGGTACTCGCCCACCCGGACCTCCGCTTCCTCTCTTGGGTGCTCCTGGTCCTGGGGAGCTGGTCCTTCTCCTGGCTCTTCCACCTCTGGAGGCGCTAGTCCCTCTCCAGGGTCCTCAGCCTCCCGGGAGTGGTGCCTGATTCCCACGCGGCCTGCATGGGTCTGGACCAGGACATGGTCATTATCATGGATACGGTGTAGAAGGGAATGGAGCAGAGCCCTGAAGAGGGACCAAAACCGTGCCATGGGGTTCTCAGGAGCGGCCGAGGCGACTTCTGGGACGTCTGCGGGCTCTTGGCCATTGTCTTCCTCCTGTTCAGTCTCTTCCTCTTCCTCCTCATTCTCTTCCTCGTTTTCACCCTCCTCTTCTGACTCATAGTCAGACTCCTCCTGGTTCCCAAACTCAAACTCTGGCGACTGGTACTCATAGTCTTCCTGATCTCCAAACTCGAACTCGAACTCGAACTCCTCTTCCTCCTCCTCTTCTTCCTCTTCTTCCTCCTCCTCTTCCCCCTCCTCCTCCTCTTCCCCCTCCTCCTCCTCTTCTACCAGCTTTACCTCCTGGCTCTTTTCTGCGGCCTGGGCAGCATCTTGCCCACCCTCCTCCTCAGGAAGGGCTCGGGAAACCCCTTCAGAAGCCAGGAAGGCTGTGGCTTCCTCGACCCCATCCACCCCTTCTGAAGGGGACACCGGGACCCCAACGCGTCTGGGGTCCTGGCCACCTGGAATCAGACTTTGCTCCTCTGTGGCAGACATGGCAGGAGGGACTTGCCAGTCAGTGCCCCAACTGGAGTTTTGATTGTGCTGCCGTGACAACTGCGGTGAGGATGGTGGGCGCTGAAGTGACTGCCCCTGAGGGGAGGCTGTTGGCAGCAGGACCTGTCTGGAGGCGGTGGGGGTGGCAGAGAAGATGACTTCAGAGGGTACAACAGTCTGTGAAGGTGCCCGTGGAAGTCCCGCAACAGGAAGCGCAGAGGGGCAGCCCAAGAATCGGCCAACCAAGACTGCGCCTAAGGTGGCAGTGGACAAGGCGGGAAAGATTCCGTTGGGCTGGTGATGGGAGGTGGAAATTGGAAGGGTCAACAAAGAGCCACTTCCTCCGCCATGAGCTCGAAGCTCATTTGCTGAGAAGCAATGATTGACATGCTTGTGGTCCAATGGCTGATGGGGGCCTTCATCTCCCCTCTAGGCCCTAAAGTACTATTTGAGTTACTCTTCAATCCTGCACAAATCCCCACTTCTTTATTCTATCTTTGAGACTCAATCAGTGTCCAGATATGAGAGTACTTTGGGGTATATGAACTGATTTGTTTCCCAGTTTCCTCCTGGGGTTGGCTCATTCCAATAGTGACCAGTTTTTTTTTTTTTTAAGTGGATAAATCAAATAGCAGTAATTGTAAAATCCTCACATAAGAGAGGGACAGAGAATTGGGACGATTTGGTAGCATTAAAACTACTTAGAAGAGAGGAGAGGTGATGGCAAAAGAGAGGGAACCCATAGATTCATCTGGTCCCTTGAATTCAACTTGATAGGTATCAAATCATTCTGAACACCTGTGAATTAAACCAGAAATTTAAGAGACGATTTGCTGCAATTCTACAAATAGTAAAGTGACCAATTTTTACAAGATAGGAGGTGTGGAGAAGTGAAGCTAAGGGGATATATTAAAAGATAGGCCAAGGGGGGCAATAGCCTTTGTCATTGGCTACTGGAAAGTGATATAGCAACAGAGCCCAAAATTACAACTTTTAGAAGTCTGCTCTGGCGAGGGACATTTCTTCCTGAAAGGTGCTCAGGTGGCAAAGTGAGGCAGAATCATAGGTGCGACAGTGTGGTCTCAGGATCCCTGGGATTACTGAAAGAACAGGGCTGCCTGAATTTGGCAGAGTTCACAAACATTGGATTGGGAAGCCGGCTGCAATCAGTGAACCCAGGAGCTGGCTTTCAGATCAGTGTTGCCATAAACTGCAAACTCCTGCAGGACTGGGCAACCACTCTCCCAAATTAATAAGATTGACAAACCCTGGCCAGACTTACCAAAAAGAAAAGAGAAAGGACCTAAATTAGTAAAATCATGAATGAAAGAGAAGAGATCACAACCAACATCAAGAAAATACAATTATAAGAGCATATTATGAACAACTATATGCCAAAAACTTAGGCAATCTGGAAGAAATGGATGCATTCCTAGAAACATAATCTACCAAAACTGAAACAGAAAGAAATAGAAAACCTGAAGAGATCAATTGCCAGCAAGGAAATTGAAGTAGTAATCAAAAATCTCCCAACAATCCAGAGTCCAGGGCCAGATAGCTTCTCAGGAGAATTTTACCAAAGATATAAAAAAGTAATACCTATTTTTCTGAAGGTGCTTAAAAAAATAGAAATGGAAAGAAAAATTCCAAATCCATCCTATGAGGCCAGCATTACCTTAATCTCCAAACCAGACAAAGATCCCACCAAAAAAGAATATTACAGACCAATATCCCTGATGAACATAGATACAAAAATTCTCACCAAGATACTAGCCAATAGGATCCAACAGTACATTAAAAAGATTATTCACCATGACCAAGTGGGATTTATTCCTGGGATGTAAGGATAGTTCAACATCCACAAATGAATGAATGTGATACACACGTTAATAAAGGAAAGAAAAAAAGGACAAGAACCAGATGATTCTCTGAATTGATGCAGAAAAAGCATTTTAGAACATATAGCCTCCTTTCTTGATTAAAACTCTCTGCAGTGTAGGGATAGAAGGAACATGCCTGAATATCATAAAAGCCATATATGAGAAACCAATAGCAAATATCCTCAATGGGGAAAACCTGAGAGTTCTTTACCTAAGGTCAGGAGCAAGACAGCGATATCTACTCTCACCACTGTTGTTCAACATAGTATCAGAAGTTCTAGCCTCAGCAATCAAACAACAAAAACAGAATATAAAGCATTCAAATTGGTAAAGAAGAATTCAAACTCTTACTCTTCACAGATGACATGATACTTTTTAATGTGGAAAACCCAAATGACTTTACCCCAAAATTGTTAGAATTCATACATGAATTCAGCAAAGTGGCAGGATATAAAATCAATGCACAGAAATCAGTTTCATTTGTATACACTGACAATGAGACAGAAGAAAGAGAAATTAAGGAATCAATCCCATTTACAATTGCACCAAAAACCATGAGAAACCTAGGAATAAGCCTAACCAAAAAGGTAAAGGATCTGTACTCTAAAAACTATAGAACACTTATGAAAGAAATTGAGGAAGACAGAATAAAATGGAAAAACATCAAATGCTCATGCACTGGAATAACAAGTATTGTTAAAATGTCTATGCTAACCAGAGCAATCTACACATTCAATGCAATCCCTATCAAAATACCATGAACATTTTTCACAAAGTTGGAACAAATAATCCTAAACTTTGTATGGAAACAGAAATTACCCCAAGTAGCCAGAGGAATGTTGGAAAACAAAACCAAACCTGGTGGCATCACAATGCAGGACTTCAAGCTCTATTAAAATGCTATAATCACCAAAACAGTATGGTACTGGCACAAAAACAGACACATAGATGAATGGAACAGAATAGAGAATCCGGAAATGGACCCTAAACTCTGTGGTCAACTAATCTTTGAAAAAGCAGGAAAGACTATCCAATGGAAAAAGACAGTCTCTTCAACAGATAATACTGGAAAAATTGGACAGCCAAATGCAGAAGAATGAAACTGGACTATTTTCCTACACCATACCCAAAGATAAACTCAAAATTGATGAAAGATATAAATGTGAGACAGGAATCCAACAAAATCCTAGAGGAGAACACAGGCAGCAACCTCTTTGACCTTAGCTACAGCAACTTCTTGCTAGACACTTCTCCAAAGTCTCCAAAGGCAAGGGAAAGAAAAGCAAAAATGAACTTTCAGGATTTCATCAAGATAAAACCTTTTGCACAGCAAAGTAAACAGTCAACAAAACTAAAAGACAACCTACAGAATTGGAGAAGATATTTGCAAATGACATATCAGATAAAGGGCTAGTATCCAAGATCTATTAAGTACTTCTCAAAGTCAACACCTAAAAAACAAATAATCCAGTCAAGAAATGGACTGAAGATGTGAACAGATATTTCTCCAAAGAAGACGTACAAATGGCCAACAGACACGTGAAAAAATGCTCAACATCACTTGGCATCAGGGAAATACAAATCAAAACCACAATGAGATACCACCTCATACAATTCAGAATGGCTAAAATTAACCCATCAGGAAATAACACATTTTGGTGAGGATGCAGAGATAGGAGAAACCTCTCACACTCTTGATGGGAATGCAAGTTAGTACATCTACTCGGAAAAACAGTATGGAAGTTAAAAATAGAGCTACCCTATGACCCAGCAATTGCACTTACTAGGTATTTACCCCCAAATATACAAATTTAATGATTCAAAGGCACACCTGCACCCCAATGTTTATAGCAGCAATGTCCACCATAGCCAGACTATGGAAAGAGCCCAGATGTCCATCAACAGAGATACTGATAAAGATAATACAATGGAATATTATTCAGCTATCAGAAAGGATGAAATCTCACTGTTTAGATTGACATGGATGGAACTGAGGGCTATTATGCTGAGTGAAATAAGTAATCAGAGAAAGACAATTATCATATGGTTTGATTCATTTGCGGAGTTTTCGAAATAGTGCAGAGGATCATAGGGGAAGAAAGGGAAAACTGAATGGGAAGAAATCCAAAAGGGATAAAAACAATGAGAGACTATAGGAAACAAACAGGGTTGCTGGCAGGAAGGTGGGTGGGTGGATGGGGTACTGGGTGGTGGGCATTAAGGAGGATATACGATGTGATGAGCACTGGATGTTATAAGCAACTGATGAATTAAGGAACTCTACATCTGAAACTAATGATGTACTATATGTCTGCTAATTGAATATAAATAAAACTACTAGCAGCGTACAATGTTGAAATTAATATAATCAGAATGGAAAGCTGAAATAGTGTTAGAAAACATGAGCTGGAATAAACATTGCCAAATTCACACTGAGCCTCCAAAGAATGAATAAAAAGAGAA